CTTGTTTTTAAGCTTTGCTGGGCCGGACAAGAAATGCATTGAGTCTAGAGTTGATTTGTCCCTTCTACTGAGGCAAGACCCTTCTTTGTACTCTAATCAATGCCCCTTGAATGACTAGGTTCTCAGTACTGACTGTTGGATGCAGACATCTTTCCTGCCCTGTGGACTCCCATCCTTCTGGGTGGTTCTTCCCCATCCTTGGGTGGTTCCTTTTCACTCTTAGACTGATCTATAGTCAGCTGAAGCCTTGAGGATGCGGGACCCTCTGCGGGTCTCTGGGGCTCCTTCTCCACACAGCTCCTTCCTCTCCAGGACTCTGCCCGATGAACCCTGGCTACCTTCCCCTGCCAGGACTCCCCCTCCCTCTGGACTCTGCCTGGGTCCCCACTCCCGGCACTGCACCCTGGAAGGCAGGGAGTGGAGACAACCATAAGGCCCCCTTCATTTGTTTCCTGTCCCACAAGGACCACTGTCTCTTGTTACATGATGTCCACTCTTGGGTGCTGTTTTTCACGTAGTTTATCTCTGACTTTTTTTTATACGTGTGGAGAACGTGTAAACTGGTGCCTGCCACTTCATCTGGAGCTGGAGCTTCAGTTCCCTGCCAGCACTCTTCATCGTCAGACATGTTCCTCTCAGTCCCCACATCTGCCACCAAGATGCCCTCTTTGTGAGGGATGGGGACATGCCTTCCTTGTGGACCCTCACAGGTCCAGCCTCTTGAAGAGCCTGGCACAGAGCCAGGGTCAGCGTGTCATGGTTGAACGATGACCACGTGGAGGGCAAATGAATACCTCTTCTCGGGCTCACTGTGCAGCCCAGGTGGGAGACAGAGACTCTGGAATCCCCGCAGGGGTTCTGTGAGATCAGGTTGCAGATGGGGACCGAGACCAGGAGATCAGCTAATTGCCCAAGTCTCAGTTTTAAAAGGGCAGTATTTGAACCAGTTCCTATTCAAATACTGGCCCATTGTCATGAAGGGGAAGGGGAGCCTGCTGGTTGGAGAGCTTCATG